AGCCCATAACAGTCTACATTTTTTATATCACACCCTATGTTATTGTAGTACATATATCTAAATAAAAATTTTAAAATTGAAATTAAATCAATTTTTCTTCAAAATTCTAATTTCCAATACCATTTTTTTTAATTACTTCATTTTTCATGCTAATTTTATTTATATTTTAAAAATCTATATGAATTATGTCTAGTTTCGTAATCATTTGATAATCAATTGACTAAAATCGATGAAAACTAAATTTTAATGCTAAGTAAATAAAACCTATTTGTTGTCTGTTCCTAAGATTTGTTTGAAAAGAAATTGAAGAAATAATTTTATATGATTTTCATTTCCATATTAAAAATGATTTAGTATGTTTATTATTATTCCTGCTGTGAAGCTACAATTGAACATACGCATCATAACTGAAACTACGTCAAAAAAAAAATCATCTGCAGTGTCTGTATTGAAGTGTGCTGTTCTGGAAGCGCGAATATGCTAGTCGTTGGTATCGTAATAACCAAATTAGGTTATAAATACAGCTTGTTGGATTTCTATTTTTAGCTCACTGCTTTATCGTCCGTTTTCAGTCTATGTTTTCGTGTTTTTATTGAACATTATTACTTCATATAATATTCCACAGATCTGAGCCGCACATGGAAACAGATTTATGTGTTTACATGGCAACAACATATGAGACAAGAACGAAACGAAAAAAAAGATGGTGCGCAACAACTATTGTTGTTATTTCATAAATTTTGTTTTGTTTCAGTAGGATTTGCGTGTGCGTTTGGAAGGAATTGGATGGAATAGATGATTGCGTGCGGATAACAAAAGGGGTTTTCCCCCTTACGTTGTCATCGACGTCTTCGCATGCGTGGGCGCATTTGGATGCAGTCGTGGAGAGCGCCGACCGACGACGGGCGGCTCTCATCGATCTGCGTACTCTAGTGGCAGTGGTAAAAAAAAAAGAGTGAGAGAACAAAACACACCCCTTCGACGTGTGCACGTACACTGCGCCCTTCAAATGTCGCCATCGCAATTTGAATCATCGTGATCGTAGCAGGTGCCGAGAACACATCAAAACAAATTAGTCATGGCCTTCTCCAATACCAATACTCTGAGATCGCCTACGGTGCTGGAGCAGCTGCTGGAGGAGATCAACTTTCAGAGGACGAAGGAGATGCGACAACTGCTCAAAGACGGTGAGTTTTACTCACTCTACATTAGTTCTTTCTTAGTTTTTGTTTCTTTTTATAGATTCCGGATTCGTGATGCTGCAGGGCACCACTTACTGGACCGATCTCTTCGTCAGGCATTTTCTGTTCCAAAACGACTCCTCGATAGACTGCGATGATCTCCTGTTCTTCGTCAGGAAGAAACACGTGAAAGGTTCACCAAGATACCTACCCAAGTTCGAGGTTTGAGCAGCAAACTGTCAAGCTTTTTTCTCTAATTTGCTGTTTAAATTATTTANAGGAAGCTTCCAATAGGTGATCCGGACATCGACTGGGAGGAAACTGTGTACTTGAATCTGATCATCCATCAGTTCGAGTATACGCTCACGTTAGCTATCTGCACACGCACCAGTCCGAAGGAGTTGCAAGTACTGAAGCGGCACTCGCAGAAGGTGTACGCTTCGCCCAGTCGAAGGCGGATGGACACTAAAGGTGAAGTGGAGGAGATCACGTATCCGCACATATGCTTCATGGTGGATAACTTCGATGAGGTCTTCCAGGATATTCTGGTCAGAGATGGAGAGATGGTCTGCGTTGAGTTGGTTGCGGCAGATCGGGCCGGAACGGTGCAGGGCGTCATCTTCTTAGGCTCCATCCGATACGACGCCCTCAAGAAGGTCTACGATGCCAGGGTAATCATCAATCTCCAACATAACATACCCCAATTTCTATCTATCTGTCTGTCTAACTCAACACTTAAAATATTCATCAATAACATTCATTCATTCATTCACATCTGTCAAAATTAAAATATTGCATATAAAACAAAATTCATATTTTTCTAAACTTACTATATTCATCAATCAATTAATTATTGATTTAATAACAATTTATGAAATTTTAAATACTTCAACATATTTTCAAAATATTAGAGATTTTTTTTAATGATTTTATGTTTTTTTTTTAAATTTGTTTATGAGTAGCAATCTAGTCTGAGTACGAAGATGGCACAGAGGATGACCTTTGGATTGTTCTCCACGTCGAATACGCAGCGATGCGAGTTCGTTCGGATGAAGGGTCCTCAAGGCAAAGGTCACGCAGAGATGGCTGTGACTAAACCGAAAGGGTCGGGTGTGGAGACTCCGACCTCGGAGCCGGGCTTCTGCGCTACAGACATGTGGGATTCGGATTGGGAGGAAGACCCGGAGGACTTCTACACGTACCGCCAACAGAGGAGACTGAGCGATCCGAGCGCAAACATCAACAATTTCGTACGCGGAGGCTGGAAGACCAAGCTCGATGTAAAGTCGCGCTCCGAGAACGAAGGACTCGACTCCATGGATAACGGGCTCAGCGAGATCGAGGCAGGCGATCTACGTGACGGTGAGTGTTGTTCTCGCACTAAATCAGTCAGTTGTGTGGAATAGTTTGAAGTAGGGTCCAGAGACTTTTAGTAGCGCTGATTGTACATACCCTTGTTTCTGTCTCTTTTTGTAGATGTCTCTGGCCCTACTTCAGGCTTAAAAACGGACTGTTGCGGTTGCTTCCATCGCAGGAAGCGCGGCTCCGTCGCCCTCTCCGACGTGTACGGCCGCAGGTGCTGCTCGTCGCCGGAAAAGTGTGCGGTCCGGTCGCCCCTCGGACCACCCGAACATCAGTGCAGCTGCAGCGTCAACCCCAAGACGACGAACAGCCTCCTTCTGAATGAATCCGAGTACGAATTGGGCAAGGAGAAGATCAAAAGGAAGGACAAGAAGCGGAAGGATAAACCGAAGCTAACTGAATTCGAGTTCGCGGACGACGCTATCAGTCTGAACAATGACGATGTTCCGCATTACCAAGAGACCTCCTTTAACACCGAGAATCCTTATATCACTGTGAACGGCAAGGAGGAGCTGCCGTGCGCCGAAGAAGACGTCAAGAACATATCCAATACGACACCAGCGTTCAGCAGGAAAACCGAGCCAGCCGTCAAGGACGACAACAAACCGAACAGCAATCTGGATAGCAATTACAATAGATTAGCAGGGAACAGCAGCAAAGTTTATGGTTACTGCACGCTTCCCAAAAGGAGGAACTCTGTGAACAATAGGAAAACTTTTGGACCTCCGAAGAGAGTTACACCCGACGGCACCCATATTTACTACTGGTGTGATTTACCCAAAAAGACCAACAATGGTAAACGTCTTTCCCCTGTCCGCTGGAAACGATAGATCATTGTCCTTTTTATGGTCCTGATCGTTCCTTATGTTCATGTTTCAGAGCTCGATGACGGCGCGTACAATCCGCTGTGGACGATGCGCGGTTTCACTCAGACATTCCACTTCTGGAAGGAGAATAAAAGGGCTCAATCCGTACCACTCAACGCATTCCTCACTTACGTCACCTTGCCCTGGTGGAGCATCGCCAAAGGTAAGACATATCAAACAACATCTTAACTGTTAAAATCTGCATCTAATCTGTGTATATATTATTTGTTTTCAGATATACTGGATCACCGGGAGGAGCCGATCCTAACCTTCTAGTATTTACCCAAACAGTAGTATTTTCTTTTAATTATTCAATTTTACTCGAAACACTTTTTCGTTTAATTTTCTCTCTGCGTAAATGAATACTCGTAAATTTGTGTCCGACCCGACGAACCGAAACTTGATATTTTGTACAATTAGCGAAAGAAAAAGAAAAACTTATGATATTTAGTGTTAAACGGAAGAGAACGAAATATTTTTAATAACGCATATTTTCGAAGCACAATGACGTCTCGTTATCCTCCCCCCAGGTTATCTGTGATTCCTCCGTTCGTTCGTTCGTTTCCAACGCAAAATTGGAAGACAGCAGGAATAAATCCAAAACCAAAGAAATTGACTTATTTATTATTATTATTATTGTAATCTTAAAGGAACGGTGTTGTTTTTGTGTATATTTTAGATTGTGTATTGCCAACAAAAAAATAATAAAACAAATATATATATATATACAATGATATTGAGTGAAAGTGACCCGAAAAAAATAAATTCCTCACTATACTTTTCCTTGTCCATCGTCCGTGGCGCAACGATAAACTTTGAACTTGTCAGGGTTTAGAGGTCCGTCGATAAGAGATAAACGATTCGTAGCGGCCTTATTTTCTGCGCTTTACTTGTTGTACGAGGAGCTCGTGAAGATGCTGCTCGCATTACCAGTTCTTTGGCTGGTTTTAGTGCTGGGCATTTCCGGTGGTACCGGATGTCCAAGGGAGCCGAGCGTTTACCATTCGAGGTACGCGAAGACGCGCGGCGACAATGGCTTCAAGATCAAGATCAACGAGAACCCGGAAAAGTACAATCCGGGTCAGGTCTACACGAGTAAGTGTCTTTGCTTCTTCCTATTCGTTTTATTCCTTCTATCCTACATCATCATCATTATCACACCCACTTACTCACTCACTTATATACTTCGTTCGCAATTTGTTCGAGGTGGTATGTATGTAGGTAGGAAGTTTACGGAGGAAGCTTAAATTTAGACGCGCTCCTGATTCCACGCGTAAATAAATTCGCATTCTTTCTGCGAGATTAATCTTATGTTAATCAATTCGATAGAAAGAAAACTAAAAATATCAAAACATGTTGTTTTTATCAATAAATTTATTAATGAAAAAAAATATATCTTATATTCATACACCACCAATTTCAGGAAAATCATTGTTTACAAAAACAAATCTTATCTTGAAACGAGTTGTCGCAATAATAATTGAAATAATCACAATTTGAATTGTATATTAATTATAGTTTAAACAATTACAAGAAAGATTCTACATTTGTTAAGTACTAATTATTACTTTTTAAATATTCCAACAGTGTATCTGATGGGATCGAGAACGTTCGATAAAATTCAACATTTCAAGAGGTTCACAATCAACGTGGAATCGGCGGATGAGCCAGGAAATCTTTCGCCGCAAAAAGTCGGAAGTTTCCAGCTCTTCGGCGATGCTCTATCTAAATTCAACGAGGATTGCGTGAACACGCTCTCCGAGACCAATGATCTACCTAAAACGGAAGTGTTCTTCATGTGGACCGCACCACCACCAGGCTCAGGTTGCGTCACCTTCAGGTACTAATAATTACTAATGGAAAATGTTGGAATCTTAATATTGACGGCAAATGCTGATTACATAGAGCTATGGTGCTGGAGGACTCTGAACATTGGTACGCCGATGATGGTATGCTCAGCCACACGTTCTGCGAGTTAACAGAAAAAGACATCAAGTACAACGAGAACGACTGCTGCGCCTGCGACGAAGCGAAATACAAGGTAATCTGCCATACAAGATGATTTAAAGTTAATACAAAATCTTTGTTTTCAGATGGTTTTCGAAGGAATTTGGTCCAATATAACCCATCCAAAAGACTTTCCGTTCTCTCTTTGGTTGACGCACTTTTCCGATGTCATTGGTGCTTCGCACGAACGCAATTTCACCTTCTGGGGTCCGGGACAGTACGCGTCCGAAGGTTTCCGCAGTTTGGCAGAATGGGGATCCGTCCGGCTGATGGAAACTGAGCTCAGGGCTAAAAGCAAATATTTAAGGACCATCATCAAAGCTGCAGGTCTCTGGTACCCGAACGTCAACACCAACACTTCGACCACCTTCAGAGTGGATAGAAGACATCATTTGGTTTCTTTAGCATCGATGTTCGGTATTTATAACTCAAAGTAAAATAAGTTGAAAGAAGATTAATAATAATGCTTTCAATTGAAGGACCATCTCCGGATTGGGTGGTCGGTGTTAACGGATTGAATCTCTGCTTGAAAAATTGCACGTGGATCGAAAATTTGGTTGTTGATTTGTACCCGTATGATGCTGGAACCGACAGCGGCATCACATATATGGTTAAATTAAATATAACAACAAATAAATCAATTGGATTAAATTTAATATTTTTTTTAGTCAGCAAATGCTGAAACTAAGCCAAGGGAGAAGATGTTCAGAATCACCACTAGATATCCTGAGGATCCGAGAGCTCCGTTCTACGATATCCACAAGGATGAGATGCACCCTATGGCCAGATTCTACTTTGAAAGAGAGAAGGTTGTCCCAAAATCGTGCGACGAGAATTTCCTGAACGCTCAACTCGACGTCAGCGAGAACACCGAGGATACCAGTAGAGGTGTGGCAAGGATATACTCAATATCATAAATGGAAAATTGAAATTGTTGATTTTCAGCGGAATGCGCGGTAACAGATTACAGTCACTGGAGCGAATGTTCAGTGACCTGCGGTAAAGGACTGAGGATGAGGACCAGAGAGTACAGGATGCCTCAAAAGGCCACCATGTTCCAATGCAACCGACAATTGGTTTCCAAAGAGATGTGCGTTGCTGATATTCCGGAGTGCGAAGGGTGTGTAGTGAGAAACAATTAACGTTGAAGCTTTAATTAAATTTAAAATTTCCATTTAAATTAGTGGTGGTGCTGGTAACGATTCATCCGAGGAGCAGATCGAGTTCAACGACACCCTCTGCGGCACCACCGAATGGTCTAAATGGTCTGAATGCTCGGAGACCTGCGGCATCGGTTTCAGAAGCAGAACCAGGCAATTCAATAATATAATGGGAAGGAAGAAGTGTCCCACCGTCGATACGAGTGAGTTATTATAATCGAAATAGTGGTTGATTGCTGAAATCTTTTTTGTTTTTGTCAGTGGAACGCGAAAAGTGCATGGGGCCGCCGTGCGCCGCCGACCAAGTGGAAACTCCAGATCCGATGTGCCCGGTGACCAATTGGAGCGATTGGAGTCCGTGCAGCGCATCCTGTGGTAAGGGCGTCAAGTTCAGGACACGTCTTCTACTCGTGGAGCCCGCTCTGCAGCAGAAGTGCAGCATGCGTGTGGAGTTGATGCAGCAGCGACCATGCATGGACACCCCGGACTGCACCTTCGACATGCAGACGGCTAAACAGGTCTGCATGGAGGAGAGCGTCCAAGGTCCTTGTACCGGACACTTCAACAGATGGTATTTCGAACCCAGGAAAATGATGTGCATTCCATTCGTATACGGCGGTTGCCGTGGAAACAGGAATAACTTCTTGACGGCCGATGAATGCAACAACGCCTGCAGCGTTGTCAGAGGTTTGTTTAACATATATTTCTATCTTTTCCAATATCGCAACTTATTACCTTGTATACAACCAAACGTGCGTACACAATTTATTCCTACAAAATGCTTAGACTTTTCAGTCTAATTAGACTAATATAAAAATATATTTTGACGAATTGAAAAGTTGAATGGTCTTGATTGGTTCCAGATGCGTTGACAGGATCACCGCAACCGACGCAGCAGCAGCAGTCCGTCCCGTCACAAACAACGCACTTCACCAATCCGGCAGTCTACTCGTCTTCGGTTACGCCCATCGACTGCATGGTAACCGAATGGTCGACTTGGTCTCCATGCAACGCATCGTGCGGGCTCGCCTACTCCGAGCGTTTCCGAATGGTGAAGAGACAACCCGAGAACGGCGGAAAAGCGTGTCCGAAGAGGTTGAACGCTCGAAAACGTTGCCTCCATTTGCCGGTCTGTCAATAAAATGCAATGAAACAAAACACGGCCAAATCTTATCGAAATAAAAACCTTTATTAATAATATATTTACAAGTGTTCATTTTTAAAAGTATACATAATTAATTATATTAAATCTACTATATATATGTATAAATTATACAAGAATAGTTTTTTTTCTTTCCTCTACTTAATTTTAATTTAAAATAATAAAAATAACAAATTAGTTACAAGTGCTTCCAACAGGAAATAAGTGATAATGTACACATTTCGTTTATTTATTGAAATTGAAATAAATCAGTATGTACATGATTGAAATTGCGCAATCCGATTAAAACAAAGATGATGAAAATAAATCATGATGTTACATTTCAATGTGATAATTTCATTTGAATTTAATAGGTAGGCAATTAGTTGCGTCAATAAATAATATATTTTGGTTCTTTGCGCTAACAACTTGGCTGAAAAAGTAAATAACTCTTGCGCTTAACTCAAAAGTAATCGAATCAATTTTGTATTTTAAAATGCGTGAAATATGTATGTTAAATATTTATGTACCTAGAATCCACGTAAAATGTTCGAAAACATTTCCGATCGTTGGATACAATACGAATAAACATTCCTTGATAGATGTGAACAGCAACATTTAGATTTTTTTTTATACAATTAGTACATTGATTGGAGATCAGTCTATACGCTATTTATATTGATGATTATTATTGTTAGTAAACTTATTATTTGATATTTGCCCCGTGGAGACTCAGGTAATAAACATATTTGCTTAAAATGTAATTTTATGGCTGTTGTTAATTGATTGCTACATGTGATTCGATACGTTACAATTCATATATTTTCAATTTGCAAGTTGAGATCGCGATGTTGTCTTGATGTGAATTGAAGAAAAAAAAAATGATAAAAAAAAATGTTATTTACATAGAATCGTTTGAAGTAAAAGATGAAAGAAAAGTCATTTTTTTGTGGCAAGTCTCTTGCGCGGCAACAACTATACAATTAGAAAAACAACAGAAGTCAGTCCAAAGCTCTCGTCGTTTTCATCAAAGGAAACTATCGCTTCACTTTTTTCTTCGCGTGTTTGTAAGCGTTTTTCGTGTAGAGTTCTCCTTCGATTTGCACGAGTTCACTGCTGTTCGGAGTGTTCACGCATCGCACCACGTTTGACATGCCCAACCTCTTTGTAGCTGGTCTATTTGGTTTCCGTTTGTTTTTCCTTATGGGAGGAGATAGTGTAATTGCTACCTTCTTGAGGAAGTCGCCGCTCTCGTTCTTCTCGATGGCTATTGGCGGGGAAGATGGTAACACGGAGGAGGTGGAGGAAGAAGGAGAAGAGGAGGTGCAAGTAGCGGAAGGACTCTTCATTTGCGTGAACGTTGAACTCACCGTCTTCTGCTCCTTTTTCTTCTTCTGCAAATCGTCCATGAGCTTTAACAAATGCTCACGATTCCTCGACCTCTTCACCGAGTCGCTGGTCCCCGGTAAGCTGTCGATCTGCGTGGTACTGGGCACTGCACTCTCCTTGATCAAATTTTCATCCTCCTTGGACGCTCCCGGTGAATTCGGATTTATTACATATACTTCCAGGTTCTCGAGGATCGGCGCGACCTTGGCTTTCGATGATACTTTAGCTCGTTTATTTTTCGAGTTACCTCTGCATATGAAGGTATCGTATACGCTTTTTTTGGCCGGCTGCTGCTGATACTGCTGCTGCTCCGTCTTGATAAACGTATCGAAGAAATTCCGCTTCTTGGCCGCACTTTCTGCTTTCGCATTTGATTGCTCGTCCTGCCAGTCTTGCGCCGGATCCTGCCAATTCGATTCTATGATCTCCTCCACGGTTCCGATATCCTCGTACTGGATCACCTCTTGCGAGTCCATCATTAACTCCCCATCTTTGGTCGTCGCTTCCTCCGAAGATTCACTCGTAACGATCACCTTCGATGAATTATTCGTTGCATCTTCTTCTAATGCAGTCAACTCTTTCGGATCGCTCGTTTCGCCGTTTGGCGGAGGCTTAATGACTTCAACAACTACAAGACCGCTTTCATCCGGTGGTGATTTCTTCTTAACATTAACATTACCTTTGGATGCTGTCCTTTTCGACTGTGTTTTTGGTTTATCTACGGGTGAACTTCGGGACTGTTCGTAGTACTGTTTACTGGTGCTTGGAATCGCGCCATCTGCACTGCTGCAACTGGGTTTGCCCGTCGATCGCGTCACTCGCTTAGTATCATTAACTTGTACATCGACTTCACTGTCCGAACAACCGTTCACCTTGTCCGAATCGTCGTGGATGAACTGCTTGTAGATGCTCGCTTTGTCTATTGCCATGATGCCGCCGTTATTCTTAGGTGCAGCTGCAACGCTACTAACACTTAGATGGGGAGGTGATGGATCCCGATTTTTCGTTTGTTTTACTGTTACATGCAGAGGTTGTGAATACTCCAATAGGGGAGAAGCTTCAAGGACGGGAGGCGGTGTTGAATTGCGAGGAGAGAAACCCTTCATTGGTGTCGGCGATGGTGATCGTTCGACGAGAGCAAGAGAGGGCGCTGAGGACGTGCCGGGAAGGGATTCAGAAATTGGTGAAGGATGATTTTGGATAGGTGGAGGAGACAACGCCGAAGACTTACCGGGAAAGGATTCCAGAGTTGGTGAAGGATGATTTTCGATAAGTGGAGAAGACGGCATTGTGGACGTGCTTGGAAGGGATTCCGGAATTGGCGAAGGATGTTTTTGATAAGGTGGAGGTGTGGGATCTCGCACTGTTGGAGGAGAAGGTGGATTGGGGTCTAGAATAGGAGATCGAATGAGTGGTGGAGTTATCGGTGCGATTGATGAACTCGGAACACTTGGTTCCACGATATCCGGATCACTCGAATCGCTGGTATCCCTCTCCCTGTAAATAATGGATGTTCCAACTGCGAACTCATCCACGTCGGAACGCGGAGACTGTGCGAGTAGTGGTGCCGTCTTGCACGAGCAGTACGTGTCGTGCATCTTGATATTATCATTCTCAAGATATTCGTTCATGCACAGGCAGTAGGTGTCGTGATGGTTGAACCTCTCGCGATGGTTACCTTCCTCGTTGACGTACATCACCCTCTCGAACGGTTTATTGGCTTCGCCGACGACTTCGCTTCTGTTCGCCTGCGCGTACCGCAAACTCCGATTGAAGATGACGTTCATGCGAATTCTGGGCGGCAGCAGCACTACTTTATTCTTATGCGAGATCTTGCGATGTTCGTAAAGTCGTTCGTAGTTGACGAAAGACTTGTCGCAGAACCCGCATGGAATGCTCACCACCCGATGATAGTCCAGATGCTCCTGCAGATCCACCACATTCCTCTCCAACGTTTCGCATAACGGACAATATATGCAGAACGAATGATTTTGGGTGCTGTGTTGCAACAATTTGCGTCTTGAATTAAAAAAAAAAAGCCAATCCATTACCTCACAAACTCCTATCCAAAGTCACATACAAATATTATACATATGTAATGCAATATGCAAAAAACAATAAATCCTTTTAATTATTGCTACTTTGATAAGCTATTTGTCATATCCAGTTGATTACAACACGCGTTCGCCTCACGTTATTCATAAACATACATTTATTTTCGATCATTTTAATGATTCGTTGTTTAGAAGGTTATCGCATTTTCCAATGGGATTCTCATCCAATCCGAATGCAATATCTTATAAAAATGGACGTGGCTCCGCCTCGCGTTTCCGTCCTTACATTTTTTTTTCTACGGACCGTTGCCAATTCTAATTGGTAAACATGCGTCACCAATAAAAACTTGTGCGTAAACAAATAAAGCGCTTGAATAGAGCCAATAAAAAATTACCTCGAGTATTTTTACGTTGAAATTATATGTTTGCAATTAATTCGTAGTGATAAACTATACAACTATTAATAAATAAATTTTTCACTTACTTTGAGGAAAAGTAGACAGAGCATTCTCGACATCCGTAGCGTCTAAAATCAAAAACGGAAATTAATTGTGAACAAAAAATAAACCTTTCCAACGCACTTTTTCTCTTCATCGTCATCATCATCGTCGTCTTCATTTTCCGGGTCGAAATCGTCAAATCCCATTCGAGATTCAAGATTGCACCTATCAGGATCGTAGACGGGCTCTGATCTTACACCTCTGGAGGCAAATGAGCTAATACTTGCTGTGGAACTTGCTCTTGAAGCAGTCCTTACATTATTCACACTGCTTCTGCCCATATTCGAATTAACCCTTCTCCTCTTCGTGCCCTTATTCTTCTTGAGAATCCCGTAGACTTCGCCGGAAGCGGGTGTCCTCGCCCGCCGCGTTTCTAAAACATTAACAAACATTCAGTATATAGTTGCAATTAGATTATATAGCCAAGTATTTAATTACCTTTATACTGGTCAGGTTGTGTTTCAGTGCAAACAGTGGCATACATCTCCTCAAGGTGTTCATTGTTTTGGAATTGTATTGAGCATAGGATTTGCTTGTACTTGTTGAATATTGTGATCACTGTGCATTTCTCATTCTTCAGGGCACGGGTCATGTGTGTTTTCATGGCATTTATGAATCTGATGACGATGAAGCATTCTGAGCAGATGCCCTCATCCCCACTGACATGCAGAAACTGAAACAGAAAACAATTGAACAATGCATAACAACAGCTACTGCATACAACAATCGTACAGGGATCTGAAAGCACTCTTTGATGTCTTCGAATGGTGAGATAAACTCTGTGCATTCTGTGGGATTGTGGATGTCCAGGCACGAGTTTAGGAAACGCTTGCAGAACACGCACTTCAGTTGCATCTCGATCATGGGGTACGGGCTTCGAACGCCCGAAAGCTGCAGTGTTTTCAAAAACTGATCATGTACACAGAAACAATAAATAAAACACTGTCAAAGGCGGCGTTCTTTTGACAATTGCATCGTTCGCAAGGGCACCGCTTCTCCGCGATCGCACAATCCTATGATGATGATCAATCAACGAACACTTCACGATTTAACGACTTTATCGTTAACCGCATTGATATAACATCAGTCAAGATCACGTAAACAATGGCCGGATCATTGTTTTTATGGGCGATCTGGCATTGAGTATGCAATCACATCTGCAGCTTAATCCCTGATGAATCTATTTTTTCAAGGATATAAGCAATCAATCTCAAATATATATCTTATATTTCCATCCAACTGGATATAACACCACCGAACCACTATAGCCCTTACAAATTACGCGATGCCACGCCAGTTCCCGCCTTTTTCACCATGCAATTCTGGTTGCGTTCCAAGGCGTACGATTGGTAACACTGACATGTATCATTAAAGGGCACATATTCGTTCTGCTTCCGATGATTGGTTGATGCTGTATTGGTATGGCTGTATGCTTCTAACTCTCGATTAGGTTAGGTTTGCTCAATATGGTGAAAATTAGTTTGAGGATCAAAGCTAACCTGGAGAACATCTCCGAGGTGTACACCAGCCACCCCGAATACACTTTCCTTTTGAAGCTGAAGTGTTTGAACTGTGGCGAGGTCTCCCAAAAGTGGCAGGATGTCGTCGAAAGCGAAACGCAGCCCACTAAGACCGGCAAATCGGAAACCCACTACTTTGCCAAGTGCAAACTCTGTAGTCGGGAAAACAGTTTGGACATAATCGAAGGAAGCAACGGTTAGCCCCAACTAACCCGCAAGCAATTTTCAAGCTAATAATCCAATTATTTACTTCTTTTTCCCCAAAACAGGAAAATTCACATTGGAGCATGCAGGAAAATTCGTCAATTTGGTGACTTTCGATTGCCGCGGCTTGGAACCAGTCGACTTCAATCCAACCGGCGGTTGGATTGCTAAAACTGAAGGTGGAACCGTCTTCGAGGACGTCGATTTGAGTGAAAAAGAATGGGTGGAATATGACGATAAACTTAAGCTCTCCGTCGGCATTTACGAATTAGAACACGACTTCATCAAAGTCAAGTAAAT